TAGTCGGAGGGATGACCTGGAATCTCTTGCTTACACTCTTGTTTTTCTTCTTCGAGGCCGACTTCCATGGCAAGGGTACCAGGTTAGAGGACTCTTATGGTTATTGTTTATTTTTTCCTTCTTGTTCATTTTCGAGGCCGAATTATTAACTTGTTTCTTGTTAGGGAGAGAACAAAGGTTTCCTTGTTTGCAAGAAGAAGATGGCTACATCCCCGGAAACTCTTTGCTGCTTCTGCCCCCAACCTTTTCGTCAGTTTGTTGAGTATGTGGTCAATTTGAAGTTTGACGAGGAGCCTGACTATGCTAAGTATATCTCCCTTTTCGATGGAATAGTTGGCCCAAACCCAGACATTAGGCCAATAAACACTGATGGTGCACTGAAGGTGATTTGGTGATCTCCTTTATGACATTGTTACTGAAGTGCTGGTACTTAGGTTCAGTCTAGAATGCCTAATGCGTTATTTTATTTTATTTTCTGGTGTGAAGCTTATACATCAAGTGGGTCAGAAGAGGGGAAGGCTAACAATGGATGAAGAGGACGAACAACCAACAAAGAAGGTCAGATTAGGAATGCCAGCAACACAATGGATCAGCGTTTACAGTGCTCACAGACCAATGAAGCAACGGTGACATCTCGGATTATACCTGAGAGTTCTTGGTATGTACGTAGATGAACATGCAGCTGACATATCTTTTTATCTTTGTGCAGTTATCATTATAATGTTTCTGATCAAAGGGTCGAAAAGCACATTGAAAAAGGAAATGAGGATGGGTTATTTATCAGCAGTGTGGGTTCTTGCTCGGATCTCTGGGCTTTAATCATGGATGCAGGAACTGGATGCTCGGCTCAAGTTTACCAGCTATCACCAATCTTTCTCCCCAAGGTAATTTGTTATGCCTGCACTGCTGATGTCACTTCCATTTGTGATATTCTCCAACCTGTGCATTTTGCCATCTGGTCTATATCTTGTAGGAATGGATTATGGACCAATGGGAAAAGAATTTCTATATTACAGCAGTAGCAGGAGCAAATAATGGGAGCTCATTCGTGGTTATGTCGAAGGGTAATGTTTTATATTCCTTTTGAATGCAGCTTTAACCGTTGTTTCCGTATTATCTCTGTTTCACAGCTTTGCATCCTTTGTAATCAGGGACCTCGTATTTACAGCAATCCTACAAAGTCAGCGATTCTTTTCCCTTCAAGTGGATAAATAAAAAGTGGAGGGAAGGATTTTATGTGACGTCAATGGCAACTGCTGGAAGCAAATGGGGGATTGTAATGTCTCGTGGAGCTGCTTTTTCTGATCAGGTCTTGTGAAGTTTTGTTTTTGTTTTGTTTAAGGTTTTGCCTTGAATAGAAGAAGCATGCAGCATTTGGAATTGATTATGAGAATATGGAATTTTTTTTGTGATGCAGGTTATAGAACTAGATTTTCTATACCCTAGTGAAGGTATACATCGTCGATGGGATAACGGATACCGTATTACATCAGTTGCTGCAACTTTGGATCAGGCTGCCTTTGTTCTTAGTGTTCCAAGAAGGAAGCCTGTCGATGAGACACAAGAGACTCTTAGAACCTCTTCTTTTCCTAGTAATCATGTCAAGGTTTACTTTTCTTTTCTCTTGATTTCCTTGTCTATTGTTATTTGGATTTTCCAACTTTCTGTAAGTGTAACTAACTTCTAGTCTTGCTTGTGCAGGAGAAATGGGCCAAGAATCTTTACATTTCATCTATGTGTTATGGTCGAACTGTTTCATGAAGTTCTGATTTTTTTGTTAGGATGCAACTCAATTTAGCTTTGCCATACATCCGCTCAGTGAGAAAAAAGAAAAACAAAGAACCATTGTGATCAGTGATGCTATGGACTTAGGAGAACCTTTAAGGAAGGTTTAGTGAAAGATGTGCGCTAAACTCTACTTAACTACTGCTGTAATTTAGTGTATCGACTGTTTCCAACTTGGATGTTTGAAGAATTTAAATTTTATAAGGAAGTGTAGTATGGGATTATATATATTTATTAGAAAAGAGAGATAGAGCCATGGTTTGATTGTATGTGGGCAGAAATGAAGATGGAACAATTTGGTGAAGCAGGAAATGGATGTTTCTGGCTTTTGTCTTCTGAATTTTATGCCGTTTTCAGTTAAATCATGTAGGAACCACGGAGTGGAACAGCCAACGGGTCTTTGAACTTGTTGGTTATGAGAGGAATCCAACACAAAGTAACGAATTTGTGGCAATTTGGGTTCAAGAATGAAACCTGTCATCATCATCATCTTTTTGGCTTCTGTACTGCTGAGATTGAGGTGAAGATAACAAGTCAAGCCTGTGGTAGCTTCACTTGTATGGAACTTTTATTTCTCTTGAAGTTTTTGTATGTGTGCCCTTGTTGTGTTCCTAAAATCTTTCTCTTATGTTCACTTCTATCTCTGGTTGTAAGTTTGTTGACCATTCGCTGTGCCTTTTTAGTAATTTAGACTTGATCAGTGATTTTGCAGGAATATAGATAGTGATACTCTTATCTACTCTGCGATTCACCAATCAGATACGGCTATGATAAATTAAGAAGCTTGAAGCAAAACCAGTTCCCCACAAATCATTTAAAAATCGTTGACATTTTATGTAGTTTTGAAATATTGTGAACCCTCTTACTTAAAAATTAACTTCATCTCAAACAAAACTTAAACGCAACGTAATGCGAACGAAGATCAAGCGGCAAATTACGCGAGAGTGTGATGAGTTCAACAAAAAGATCACCGTTCTATTCATTTAGGGTTCTACACAAAAGTCTTTTCCATGCGTGCATGTGTGTACACATTATGTATATAACTATTTATGCAGATTGATGAAAACTAGGATCCTTGAGCTCTTTTGTTACTACTTTAGCATCATCTCTGTACATTAGTCCGCTTGTGCATCAAACAAGCTATATTTGTAATATTCAGCAAAAAAGGATACTAGGATGCTACCGGTTTGGAGGAAGCCTTTTTATAATAGTAATTTGGTATTGAAGCTCGAATTGATCCGTGAGTCTTTCCTCAGCGCATGTCATCCGCGACTTGCGAGCTCCGAACCGCCCAGAAAGAGGATGGCTTCAACTTCTTGTTTGTCGCCGTGAAAAGCCAACCAAGCTGAGTTTCACACGTTGCACAGTTCGCAATTGTCCATGCATACCTGTGGATTACGACACATAAATCAGATTTCTAATGCTCCAGATATTCAAGTTTGTTTTAAACCAAATCTAGTTTTTAGTTGTATAATAGTAACTGAGCTTGGTTAAAAACTGTTTTACATAAATCATTTAGGACAAAGACTCTTACCCAGGAAACCAGCTGTCTTTTTTAACGGGTCTACCTGTAAGCGCTATGTCATTAGCTTTGTAAAAGGTCATTATCTCGTGCACGTAGCCATATGGGTTTACATATGCACCAAGAGGACCGTCACTAGACATAACCAACATGTCACTTCTTCTTGCTATGACCGTCTGCATTCACATGCAAGCGTATCGGTTAAAACCACAAACATACAACAGAGAGGTACAAGTAGAAATGATATTTTTTTACCATGATCCCATAAAAGATACCTGGCAGTGTTTACATCGAACACGATCAAAACTCTCAAGCAACTCTATTTCTCGCTGCAATCTGTAAGAGACTCCGTCAAGCTCCAAGAGCTCTTGTCTGATTGACTCTGACACGGGGATTTTACTAGCGATGGAAAAGGATAATATATCTGGTTTACTCACAAAAGCCTCCATGTTTGGAACCCCAACTATCTGCTTCCATAGATCTGTAAATTGTATTTAAGTTAACATTAGCAGACTCTTAATGTGTGCGAGACTTGTATGAAGACGGTGAAAGATAACAAGGAATTTACCAGCTGCTCTTTGGGCAAGACAATACGAGTCATACATCTTATATGCCCAGAATGGCCAATATGCTCTTGGGGCCATACGGAATCGGCTTAGATCAGTATTTTCCCGGAAACTCGTCAGCCTGTTTTGCTTCTTGCCATTTGGAGATTGCTCGTCTTGACCCTTTTCTTCGTCTTGGCAAGAAGCTAAACGTCCAATGGACCTAGAGCTGTATGGATTAGAGCCACTGGATTGGATATCAGATGTGCTGACTACTTGATCATCATCGCTACTCGTCCAGTCATCCATTATTGAGTCAACTGCTGAATAGTGAAGTCTTTTCTCTGACGGAGAAAGAGCACTTTCGAAACTTTCTTCAGAGTTTGCTACAGACTGTTCGTCGGTATCTCTAAGATGTGTAGATAAAGACATTGCACTCGAGTTGTGGCGACCTCGCACGTTGCTTAACGGTACCAGTTTCCCAAACGCATCCCTCGGAGTCCTCAATGGCAGATCTTCATCAATGATTTGAACCTCTCCACAAGGCTGCAAGAAGGATTTAATTAGAAATAAGTTTTGATCACACTAAACAAAGATGTATTCGCAGTTTTCTATGTGTATATATCAGAGAAATGTCCTTACGAATCCTTCAACATCAGTCCAGCGACGCTTTAGACGGAATCTTTGTTGTCCACGAGTAATTACATTGAATGAACCATCCCCAAGTCGACGGTATTGTCGTATCTGTGATTACCACCCAAATTTGTGAGTTACATTACAAGAGCTAGCAGATCAAAATTCTTCCCACGGTAAATATTAAACAACAGTCATGCTATTTTCCAACTTCCTACATCAAGACCCCTGTCTCAAGCATAGCTTCAGAAACTTTGCGCAAAGGACGTCAAACATTAAGTGTATCTATTTCTTTTAATTTGTAAGATGCTAGGACCTATCATATCTAATTCCAGTATTTGTCCATTTTCTGTAGAAATGGTTTGATACCCTAAACAGTATAAGAAAGACTATGGAGATAAGTTTCTAATTGGCAGATGTTCTAAGAGGTCTGAAATGCTGTAACCGAACTAAGACTATTTCAAAATGAATCAAAATATATAAGAACCTCATGAAAGTACACCAAAACCTGAAGCTTTCTTGAGACATGACACAGCAACAAATGTAAAACTCCACCAAACAACCATTTGAAAAAAAAAGGAAATATAAAACTCAGAAAAATTACCTCTGCGGTTGTCCCCACACTGGCATACTTGAATTGAGCACCTTCTCTGTAAACACGAATCTGAAGATAAAAGGATAAACTTTGGATGTGTACTTTATTTTATATAAAAAAGAGCCCAAAACAATCAAAGCAAAAGCTTAAGCAAGTCACCTACCACACCTATTGTAGATGGTGCGTTAGCTTGGTTCAAAGCTCTCTCAACAGCAGCCAAGAAACTAGACTGAAAAATCCTAAGGGGAAGTGTAGCCTCTGGAAATAGAACCACTCCTGCAGTATCACATACCATCATTGTCAATGCCTTGCATACATATCATGCTTGTCTTACAAAAAATCGTTTTTATTATGAATACCTTCGAGATAGAAAAGCGGGAGCTTTAACACGGTGCCTCCATCAACGAAATCAAGTCTGTTTTGAGTGTCTTCAACCTCTGGTGAAAACAAGTATCAATTCATAAGCTCAAAATGTGTCAAGTATAAGAAAACACAGACACGAGATGCGAGAAAAACCATCCATACCTCCAAGATAGGTATGTAGAGAAGCCACAGCTGGGTTGAAAATAAGCTCATCAGCACCATGATTATCACTGTCAAAGCACCGAAATGTAAAATCAGAGAATGCAACAGTGAGATGAAATCAAATACTGAAACATCAATGAAACCTAAGTATTGGAAAAATCAAACTAGTGATACACTCTCAAATCCGATGGCAGTGCAGAAAAAACAACACAGTCACTAGAAATGTAGAGAGGAGAGGTAAGCAAGTGATGGTGAGAGGATAAAAAGAGGGATTCGCTTACGAAACAGGCGCGTGGGAGGTAGAGTGAAATGCAGCGAGGCCGTCGTCGTCTTCGTCGGAATCAGTTTGATCCTCGACTTCCTCCACTTGCAATTCCTCGAAATCAAGCTCGCGAATCTGCTCGATCTGGAGCCTTTCTCTCTCTAGTATCCTGTCGTCGTCCATCTTTCCCTCTCTCTCCTTACGTTTACCCGCCACCAGAGAACTCTCTCTCTTCTCCACCTCCGCGTTTTCCAGAGACGACGACAACGTTTCGTTTGTCTTCGTCCTGGGAAATTAACGGGCCGGTTTCTGGAACTATTACCCGGCCCATCATCATAAATATATTAGGGTCCCAATATATTAAGCATACTTAACCAATTTCCAAATAATATGATCATGGACAACAATACTAAGGATTTCGAGTACAAAACAGAAGGTTTGTGAAAAATGATGTTTTATTATGGCAAATTTTGTTGTTGTATTGACAAATTGGAATATCAAGATGGTTCTCCCTATTCTCTCTTCAAATTATAACTTTCATCCGAACCATATAAAATTCAAAAAAACAAAAAAATTGTAAGTATTGTATACATGATTTTAAAAATTACTTAAGCTACAGCTTTAACTATATTTTGCTGGAGTTTGAACCTTTTTCCCGTTTAAATAAATCAGATAGGCATAGAAGATTAGTTAGGCTTTTTCTTTGATCAATGGAGATAGAAGGAAATCCGATTTGGCACTATAATCCTGACAGGCCTTTGCTCTTATTCTGAGCAAGTGAAAACGTAAATCAGTTTCTCTAAGTTACGGTTGCTTGCACAAGTCTCCATACCATTGCAGCTTCCACGACCACGAGCCATATTCTAATTCGAGAGAGAACCTTAAAAAGGAAAACTACATTCAACATTTTCAACTTATTATATTGTATTCAAAAATCATTATGTTAACGACTGGTTTACCACTACACAGTTGACGTATCCTTTTAGTGAAGATTTTATTTGTGTGAGTTAGCAAATGGCTGGCATCTTTTTCTATAAGATTTTGGTTAGATTATAATGCGACATCAATATATTGGATAAGATCATGAGATTCTTAAAAGAAAATGATTTCGCAGTTACCAAATATTTATCTTCTAAACAATGATTTGATGAATGTTGTGATATGATCGCATTAATTTTATAATCATCTTTGTAAACGATAACATTTTTTTTTTTTTTTTCGCGTCAATCTACATACTCAATCATCATATACAACAATTATTAAAATTTATGGACCTCTATAATTGACAACCATCAACAACGTGAAAAGCCGTATGAAAGTAGTTGTTAATGTATTACTGGTGTTGGCTTTGTGTCTATAAAAGGAAGGACGAGACCAAAGTGTTTACATAAGACAGAACAAACAAAAACACTCGACACAGTTTTAAAGACAACTAATTGATTCATCAATGGCGATGTCTGGAACATACGTGACGGATGTACCTCTGAAGGGAACGGCAGATAAACACTACAAGAGATGGAGAAGCGAGCAGAACCTCTTCCCTGACGCCATCGGCCATCACATCCAAGGAGTCACCGTCCACGAGGGTGATTCAAGAAATGTTGGCACTATTAAAATCTGGAACTACACTCGTGGTCCGTATCTATACTATTTTTCTCTATATTGGATTTGAATATATGGCTTTTGATTCTCCATAATACTGTACTTAGTCCACAAGATACATGCATGTCTTGTTCTCCAAGTTATCTCTAATAAAAAAAATTGCTGCATGTGTGATGAAGATGGGAAGGAGGAAATGTTTAAGGAGAGGATAGAGATGGACGATGAAAAGATGGTGGTGACGCTCAATGGGCTCGATGGTCACGTGATGGAGGAGCTAGAGGTGTATGTTGTAACCTTCCAGTTCATTCCCGAGTCTGAGGAAGGTTGCGTCTGCAAAGTCACTATGGTGTGGCAGAAGCGCAGCGAAGACATTCCAGAGCCCATCCACTACATGAAGTTCGTCGAGAAGATGGTTGCTGACATGGACGACCACATCCTCCAAGAACAGACTGAAATGGTGGATGCTTGATCATCATCACATGACCTCTTTTATTTGTGTGTGTTTTTACATCCTCCTTTTTTGTGTGTGGTAAAATGCGAAATCTTTACATCCTCTTTTATTTGTGTGTGTCTTTACATCCTTCTTTTTTGTGTGTGGTAAAATTTGAAATCTTTACATCCTCTTTTATTTGTATTTTTTTCGTGTATGATACTTGATTGAATCAAGTTGATTCTATCATCATGGTGTTGTATGTCCAACGTACCTTAATAAGAGTATTGTTGTTTTTCTTTTGAACAAAGTCTCTATAAGAGTATTGTTGGTAGTTTATAGAAAAAAAAAAAAAATCTATAATAATATGCTGTTACGATATATATATATATATATATATATATATATATATATATATAAAGAATTGCTTTCTTATTTAAAGTGCAAGTTTAACTAATTTAGTTGTTAAGAAATCTAATAGGAGAAACCATGGAGAAGATCCCACTCCGTTGGCAACGACGGTGAAGACAATAGACAAGATCATCGGGAACCGGTTAAGCTCTATCCGCACAATGGGAGATGACAACTATGAAGGAAGTCTCATGTTTTGGTTTTCTTAGGGTTTTCTACAAGGAACTAAGAAAACAGATTTCTTTTTCTAATGTATCAACCTAGCTCAAACAAGAAACACTTGATGTAACAAACGGCTTTTGATTGAATATAATTTTACATTCATTCAAACAAAAAAAATGTTTAAAGATGTGGTGAAAGATGGGGATAAAGTTATGGTTGAATGTTTTGGTGTGAAAACCACCCTTTTTTTATTTACATTTGATTAAAATCATGTATATTAAAGAGAAGACAAACTGTGTCGAGCATAAAAAAAGGAAGATGCATTATTGATGATACCAGGTTTACGATTCTTAAAACTTGCTTACGCAACTGGATCAGTCTAATGATTTGTTTGAACTCCACGGTTTTCAAAATTTCAGATTAATGGTACTTATAGACCAAACATAGACATATATACAAGAACCAAGACCGCCAGACAGTAGTCAGTAGTCACTCATCATTTGGGTCTATTAGCCACCAATATGAAGCCAATGGCTAAACTATAAAGAAGTATTGATCCCAAATTAGTTTAAATTTGAATGAATGAAAATTTGTCCTGTTGCTTGCATTTATAAGTAAGCTTTCATTTTCATTTTTTGTAGGACCAGAATTAAGTCCGATCGTTTACTTGGTACAATATAAGCTAAAGGTATTTGTAAGTCTTTAACCTTATATTTGGCGCTATGAGTTCTGGATTATATGGAGGAATTAGGAGATTGCTAAAATGACATATTATACGAAACTGCTATAACTTGGTGAAGAGAAATACATTTGTTTTTTAATCCGACTATTTTCTTTAGGCTTTTAGAAGCTAAGACGATCGCCTAAACAACACAGCAAATACGAACAAAAATAAATAAATAAACAGAACACGTAATTGTTGTTGTTGTTGTCGAACATATAAAAATAAGATTTTAGACAAACATATCTAAAACACCAATACCAATGGCAATCCCTAGTCCTAGATGTTGTCTCCGACATGATCCAAGAGAAACGCAAATTTTAGCCATGTTCCTTAACACATCAACCACCGTACTTGCAAAGGTTCTCGAAACCCATGTACTCGTGCCGTTGGATTTTACCAATCATGTTCACTATTCCCACACCACCTACAAAACAGAGAATCAACAACACTGACAAAAATCAGACAACTTTTAGGACTCAAAAGAAGATAATGTTTAGGAGAGGAGGGAGGTGATGTACCAAGCGAAATCGCGCTGATAAAGATCATAGATGCGAGGATGAAGATGATGAGAGACGCCCGGCCGAGGACTGTGATTAGCCTCCTGACTACATGCTGTCCAACAAAAGCTGCAATTGTTGCCACTGCCACTAGGTACAGAGCTGCACAAAAAAAAGTAAACAGATTATTGATGGATATCATGAAACTGTAACAGACAAACAGCAGCAAGAGAACTCACCATATGGAACAGGGAACCGTTTAAGAAGATAGTATTCTATAACAGACATTGATGAAGAGAAGGTCATTGCAAAAGTAGCCGTTGCACTTGAGACCTACCAAAACAAAAACAAAAACCACTTGAGAAGATCGTTCTTGTTCTTGTTGAATACAAGAACAAGTGATTCGTTTGTAAGAAATTTCACACCTGTGGAGGGACACCGAGCTCTAGAAACAATGGACCCATAATGAAACCTCCACCTAAACCAAGTAAACCACCGACTACACCCGCCAATACACCAAATGTACAGTACATAACGAGCTGACCAACGGTGAAATCCGAGCCTCCTTGTCCTTTAGATGCAATGATTCTTCTACCTTGGTACAAAGCTACTGCTTCATAGCCTGATACACCAACTGCAACAGGAATCTGCATGATGGTAAGATGGCTTAAGCATCTATAAGCAGTATAAATGAATCTCTCTCTATACCAAAAATGAAAATGTAATTAAGTCTATTACCTGTAGCAAGTTTATGACCCAATATGCTACTGAACAATTAGCCAAATTTTGCTGTTTTCCATGAAAAAAAAAGTATCAGTAAAGTTTGAACATGAACAAGAAGTCTGTATAATTTGGTAAAAGAAAAGATAACCAACCTTAATGATCTGCAGTGCCAAGAATACAACCCATACGAAAACGAGAAGCCCGAGTTCCTTCCAGTATACATTTTCAAGAATACTTACCTGCAGTAGTACATTAACTAACATGTTTAATTCATGACTAAAACTTGCAAACACAGAACCAGCCGTAACGACGTGAAGAGATTGCCACTTACTTCTTCTTTCTTGCTGTTTCCATTGTTCGTGCCCGGAGCTGCGGGAAGAGGATGGTATTCAACTTCTTCCCCAGATACACCTGATGATGAAAAGGTAAATCAGTGCTCTTCCACTAAAACCAAAAATGTTAAACCACACAAAAATTCAACTCACCGTTTGACTCTAAACGCTTCGCAGCTTCCTATAACACAAAACAGAGGAAAATTACTAGAGATTATACAAAAAAACTCACTAACCAAAAACTAAAAATTGTACCTTTTTCTCTATAGTTTCTTTATTCCAAGTCTCAACACCTTTCAGAAACGCCTTTGTTGATGTTCCTACAAACATTGAATAAAAATTTCATCATTTTCAAACTCTAACCACCGACTGAAAAATCGGAAACTTTATATGATTCTTACCGAGAAAGAGTATGATGAGAAGAACTGTAACCATCCAATCAGGAAAAATGACATTGAAAGCAACACCAATACTGATCCCTAGCATCAGCATCGGCTGTATCAGAAGCGCGAGATCGTAGTCGATGATCGGCATGTCAATCGTGGGATGCCTCAGTTTAAGATTGTAATACACAGTTGACACAGCAGCGCCCATGATCATACCTTTACACAAAAAAATGATCAAAATCATTAAAAAGAAATTAAAGATCAAGAGAAAATGTAGAATGTTGCTACTTGACTTACATTTGGACAGAGCTGTGGCTGATTTTGGATCAAACCCAATGATCAAACTTAGCATTGGCACGAAGATTCCACCTCCACCAACACCTCCTACGCTACCAAACGCAGCTCCGAAGAATCCGACGAGAGTGCCCGCAACAATTCTCCAGTCAAACTCATATTCCTGGAAATTTTATTCAAAAAAATCAAAGTTTATGGTTGAAATTAAGGTTGAGGATGATGGCGGAGAAAATCTTACAGGCCAGAAATGATGATAACCAGTTTGACCAGATTCCCAGAGAGAATTCACGGCGTTGAGGAAGAAACTGGATTCGTCATCACTTTCCCGCGTTTCGGAATCAATTTTGAGGAGAGATTTTCCTTTGAAGCTTCTCTCGGCGGAGACGAAAGCAAAAGCTAACGCGAAATTGACGAGAACCACGATCACGGATCTCAGACCCCGAGAATTCCATCTGAAATCCACCATTTTGTAATTCGAAAAATCAAAAAGCAACTACAAACGATTTCAAAATCGATCTGTATTTTTGGTTTAGTCCCGAAAGCGAAATCAGAAGAAACTGGTCCACGAAAATTGAGAGAAAACAAAAATCAAAGGCTAACGCTCGAGGAAAACAAAAGGAACGAAGGAGGAAGACGGAATCATGTGAGCCAAAAGAGGAGTAAGGAAGAAGACAGATTCAATTGGGAAATGTGTTCGCGAAGCGATATGAGGATTCAGGCGACTTTTCCTAAATTTTCTCGAGAAAGGATCAGAGAGAATTCAAAATATGTAAAAAACGGGGCAACAGAAATTTCAAACGTGTGAGATCGTAGGAGATGATCCCAGGAAGAGGATGCCAAGTAGACTAGTGATTCTGCATCGTTCTTTTTCTTTATCTGTTTATTTTTTAATATTTTATTTATTTATTTTTATTTTTTTAAGCTCCAGTTGAGAGAGTAGGTTAGAGAGAACATGTTAGATTGATGTGACGTAATGGGGATGACCCATTAAACTCAAGTAGTACTTTATGTTTTAAAACAAGACAAGACAGGTCGTCATTAATGACGCCAAACTACCATAATGTCATATGTTTTAAAACGCAGTTTCTGCTGCCGTTTAGCTGGAGAATTAAATGTATGCTGAAAAAACATAATCGTTTTGGTGTTTGTTTTGCTTTAGATCAATATATATGTACTAGAACTATGAATTTTTTATACAGTTCTGAGGAAAATCGAAATAGAATAATGAAACTGATGAAGAAAGTAATCTGATACCACTCTTGATTCTCATTTATATTTTTCAGGTGTAGAGAAGTGGAAGTCATTTGATTGATTCAATTTTCTTTATTTTATGATGCACTTGTGCAACAATATTTTTGATTTAATTGATCGGTTCAAAAAATAAGCCAAGTAGATAACTGGGGTTACGTATCTTGCTTTCCTTTCTTATTTTATGTCTGTCTATATGAATTTCTTATTACTCTATTCAATGTAAAAATGGGACATCAAACGTGTGAGATCGAGGGAGATGATCTATGGAAGAAGATGCCAAGTAGACTACTGATTATGTATGTTGTTTCTTTGTATTTTTTAATGTATCTTCTTATTCTTTTTTTTAGCTTCAATACAGAGTAGCTCACTTAGATTGAGGTGACGTATGAGATTTCATTAACCATTAAACTCAAGTCATCTCTCAGTTTTTTTCTTCTAAAACAAGATGTATGTCGTCACTATGACGTTAGATACCAGGTAATTAATTAATTGGCATAATGATAACTTGTTTGATCCGATTCCCAGAGAAAATTCAAAGCTCCGAGGAAGAAACTGCATCAGTCTTCTCTCTTTGAAACCACAGAACTGTGTGGTTTTGGGACTAAACCACAAAAACAAATCGTTTAAGATGATTCATCAAGAAACAGAGTTACATGTAGAAGATGAGAATGGTTACTACCGTATGGATTGCCTTGCTCATAGTCATATAAACATTTGAAAGGAGAAACAGCTTCATCTATTCCGTCACCAAGCTTCGCATATCTTTTAGAAGTTGGGTCGCATCTATAATCGACTGGGTCACATTAATAGCAAAGGTAGTAGATCCTGATGTAACTCCTTTTGCATTATCTCATCGGCTCATCCCCATCAATGGATTTAGAGATCGCTGGGATGGAGTTTGTGTAGTGTTACCTCTTCACCGGTCCACGTGAAAACCCATTGGGCCTTCCATTCGCATAGAATCGGGTCCCAACTGCTAAACTATTGCATCCATGACCAAGCCCAAACTACCTCCTAGCAATATTGGTCTTGCTTCATATCAGTATTCATAGCGTTAACTCTATGCAGAGCATGAGACCGGGTAACTCTAAGATCGTGTCCACTGACCGGTCTCAGAATTGGTCGATGTCTAAGACTAAGATGAGAGATGCGACAGGTGGTGTGCAAATTGGTCTGTGTTTGAAGAAAAGTGAGATGGATGCTTTTATTTCTCTATTTGATCATGGTTTGGAAGATTAAAACATATATGATTTTTCAATTATATCTTGTTTGTGTTTTTCTTTGAATATTATGCAAGATCTCGAAGCAAAGTAAGAAAATTCATCCGTTGTTGTAACCGAAATGCAACTGTGTTGTATGATGTTCAAAGATAATGGTTTCTTCAGTTATTTGTAATTCCTAATCTCTCCCATAAAAGCCATTGGCCAACATCTACCATGGCATGAGCACGAGTGTATTTTAGAACTTAACGTCACAATTCTTTTTATTTTTCTTTTCTTATATGTCGACGACTAAATAAGTCAGACCCAACGAAAAAAGGTCCACTTTGACTCTTATATTGTACAGTTGAGACAGATAAGCCGGCATTTAAAAGCGTCATTTAACCAATAAATTATTTATACAGTTGGCTATATAACGCAGTCTAATAAGGCTTTGAAAGCTGACTTTGAATTCGTCTCTCTTTTACGTGTACATATCCATATCCATCTACTACAATATAAAACACAGCTAAGAGATTCACAAAGACATAAATTAAACACATATTCGACCAGTCAAAAAAAGAGAGAGAACAGAAGAGAGAAATGATGTTTGAATCTCAAAGCAAGTTGAGATGGAACGTGTCATCGTCAGCTTCATCTTACAGAGAAACAATTGTACTTGGGAGATACAGTAAGAGCTGTAGAGAGCAGAAGCAACAACGAAGAAGAAGATCTATGGAAGAGAGACTCTTGCCAAAATGGAAGGTTTTGTTGAGGAAGATGAAGTTGTTGCCTTCTCCTTCTTCTTCTACAAAGGTGGTGGCTTATGAGCTTTACGATTACTCTTTGAATTTCGATCAAGGGCCAGGATGGCACGATCATGATGAGCCAGAGAATCTTGCTAGGTCTTTCTCTTCACGGTTCGCTGACCCCACACGGATTCGAGCAACACGCTTGCTCTTGTATTAAGTTTACTTTTCTTTTATTTTCATTGTTTTTTAATTTATTTATGATGAGATATACTAGATATTTCCAAATTAAGAAAAATATTAGGTAAACTAAATTGATTTATTTCTTTCGCGGAGGGAACCTATAAAATGTGCTATATCATATTTAGGATGTTTTCATAATTTTCAATAAATTATTTCGTATATGACAAGAAATATCATGGAAATTAAGAAAGGATATGGATCGGAGTTTTCTTTACCCATTAAGCAAAAAATGGCATATGACAATTGCAAAAAATGCCATATGCATCTTTTCTAATATGGATATTGCCTCATCTCGGTAAATTTTCTTTTCAGAGTTGGAGGAGTGTTCACGCTTGAGTGGTACTATTCCAAACAAGTTTAGGAAAAATATATGGGAAAGTGTAATTAATTACACTAGGGGTCGATTTAATATTACTAGAAAAAATAGGAAAAATAAAATAAATAAACCGTCTTAATCCTCAAAGAAAATAAAGTCTTCTGACACGAAGCTATATAAGTTGCGAAACCCTGATCTTTCGGATCCCATTATCGCAATCAAATTCATTATCAGCTAAATCTTCAGAGCCGTAAGTACCAGTTCTCCGATTAGGGTTTTGGTTTTTGCCTTTTTGGATTTCGGTATTAGGGTTTTTTGTTTTCTTATAGCAAAAGCAACCTTAAAAACCCTAGGAGAGAAAAAAAGTGAAAGTGATCAACAAGCATCATGAACGGAAAAGATCCAACAAGACGGATGACAATTCTGATGCTTCCTGATGATTTGGTATTAAACTGCTTAGCCCGTCTCTCAAGATTGTATCACCCAACTCTTTCCTTAGTATCCAAGAGATTCCTCTCTCTTGTTGCTTCAACGGAGCTTTACCAGACTCGAACCCTCTTAGGACGTACCGAGAGTAATCTCCACGTGTGTTTATGGCTCTGCAGGACCGACTCTAACCCACTATGTTGGTTCACTCTCCGTTGGAGATCCGAAAAGTGTTTCACTATCAGGACTATGATGGTTTTGGTCCCGATTTCATCTCCTGATTTTCCATCTCCCAGAGGGTCTGAGGTGGCAGTGGTTGGTCCTCATATATACGTTATTGGCGGATTACTAACTCGTGGAGGCCTTCATGCTTCGTCCAGCGTCATGGTAATGAACTGTGGTTCTCACATTTGGCGCAAGGCCCCAAGCATGCGGCTGGCCCGCGTGTCCCATTCCGCTTGCGTCCTTGATGGGAAAATACATGTAACAGGAGGCTGCATGAACCTCGACTCGACGAATTGGATGGAGGCTTTTGATACAAATGTGAAAAACAGATTTGCACCAGAAATCCCTTAGTTTCATTAATGAACTTCAAGTACTTTTTATAGTGGCTTACAAAAGAGAAACTGAATTTAACAAGAAAGCAGGAAACAACTTCAACCACTAGGACCAACTAATGCCACGACTCTAAACTGAACATTGACTTAGCAAAACAGAAGCAAATAAAACGCAAAATATTGCAGAAACAGAGCTACTAATAAAACAGACTCCAACAAACCCTCCCTTGAACTTAACTCTCTAAGAGATTCAGTTCACTCAAAGTGATCATCCCAAACGCTGCTCTGGCTCTCTGAAAAGAAGCCAACTTCAATGGCTTTGTCATCATGTCCGCAAGCTGCATCTCAGTATTGCAGTAAACAAGTTTGATGATACCTTGCTTGGTTAAGTCCCTCAGAAAATGATAGCGTACCTATATGTGTTTGGATTTTCCGTGCATCACAGCATTCTTGGATAACTTGATAGTTGAAGTGTTGTCACAAAGCACCACCATCTCTTCAGCTTGAACATGACTGATCTCCTTTAGTATTCTTCTCATCCAAATGGCTTGACATGAACAAGCTACAGCCGCAACATACTCTGCTTCCGTGGTGGAGAGAGTGACAATGGGTTGTTTTCGAGATGACCATGCAACAGCTCCTCCACTCATCATAAACACATAGTCCGACGTGCTTTTGCTATCATCTATGTCTCCTGCATAATCACTGTCTGTGTATGCCACCAATTCACTCATCATCTGCCGCTTGTACCAAATACCACACTCCAATGTTCCTTTCAGATATCGCACAACTCTCTTTGCAATGGCCAGATGTAATTGAGTCGGAGATGCCATGAAACGACTGATCAAGCACACCACAAACATTAGATCATGTCGTGATGCAGTGAGATACATCAGACTTCCCACCATCTGTTTGTATAGTGTTGCATCGATCCTCTCACCGGACTCATCTCGACTGATCTTTTGACCTGGTACAATCGGATTGCAGACAGGATTGTAATGTTGCATTCCAAACCTGTCAATTACTTCAGCAGCATACTTCCTTTGCCAAATAAAGATTCCTTTCTCTGGTTTCTGTATCACTTCGATACCAAGAAAGTATCTCATCTTCCCCAAGTCAGTCATATCAAACTCACGCTTCATTGAACACTTAAACTCTTCCAACATCTCATCATTGTTTCCCGTGAACAGCAAATCATCAACATACACACTAACAATCAGAATGTTACCTCCGAGCTTCTTGATGAACAGAGACTGTTCATTTGGACTGTTTGTGAAACCCTCCTTGATAAAATAAGCTTCTATGCGACTAAACCAAGCTCGTGGTGCTTGTTTTAGTCCATAGAGAGCCTTGTGTAGCTTATAGACCATCTCCTTCTTGTCTGAAACTTCATATCCTTGAGGTTGTTCCACGTACACATCCTCCTCTAGCTTTCCGTGTAAGAATGCAGATTTGACATCTAACTGGTAGACAGTCCAGCCTTTATGCGCAGCTACAGCAAGGATCATACGTACGGTGTCCATGCGAGCCACTGCAGCAAAAACTTCCGTGTAATCCACTCCATATTCCTGCGCATAGCCTTTCACGACTAACCTCGCTTTGAACTTGTCCACCTCTCCCAGCTCATTAAACTTGGTTTTGTAGATCCACTTAACTCCAATGGCCTTAGCTCCATCTGGCAAAGAGACAAGAGACCATGTTTGATTCTTCTCAATGGAGTTCATTTCTGCATTCATCGCTTCTCTCCATTTTTGGTGTTTGACTGCTTCTTGAAAACTTGTGGGATCAGAGATGATCATGAAAGCAAGATGCTCGAGATTTACCATGTCAATCGTTGCCATGTTGATTTCTTCCTCAGCATCTGATAAATCCTCTCCTGAAGTGTAGTCAGCAGCCCATATAGGTGGTCTTCGAGCTCTGGTTTCTCCAACTTGAGTTTCAGGTTCGACATTTTCACCTCCTGCATTTTCTGCATCTTCAGATCCTGCATCAACTTCCTCAGTTATTGCATCATTCTCGTCACCTTCTTCATTTACTTCCCCATTCATATCTTCCCACTCAAGCTCGACATCTTGCTCAGCCAAGTGATTTCTTTCCCAAGTCAACTTCTTTTCTTCCTCAAATATCACATCTCGGCTGATGTGAATTTTCTTCTCAACAGGATCATACATCTTGTAAGCTTTTGATTCACTGTTGTAGCCCAATAAAACACATTTCACACTTTTGTCATCGAGCTTGGTTCGCTTGACGTCGGAGATGTGAACGTGTCCCACACAACCAAAGATCTTGAAGTACTCTACCGATGGTTTCTTGCCACTCCAAGCTTCTTCTGGTGTTTTGTCAGTTACGGCTACAGTAGGTGACCGGTTAAGAACATGATTTGCCCATTGAACAGCTTCAGGCCAAAATGATCTTGGTATCTCTTTCTCTCGCAGAACTGTTCTCACCATGTTCATGATGGTTCGATTCTTCCTCTCAGCTACTCCGTTCTGTTGAGGAGTATATGCAGTGGTTAGATGCCTCTTAATTCCATGCTTGTCGCAGAACTCCCTGAATTCTCCAGAGTTATACTCTCCACCTCTATCCGTTCTCAAGCATTTGATAAACATTCCAGTTTGTTTTTCAACAAATGCTTTGAACAGCTTGAAATGATGAAAAGCTTCTGATTTCTCTAAGGCAAAATAGATCCAGGTTTTCCTAGAGAAATCATCGATGAAACTGATAAGATATCTCTTCTGGCTGTTTGACGATGGAGTAATTGGACCACACAGGTCAGAATGAATGAGTTGAAGCTTCTCAGTTGCTCTCTTTTGGTTTGTTTAGGAAAGGCTACTCGATGTTGCTTTCCTTTCACACAAGCTTCACATGTAGCTTTCACTGGTTGAATATCTGGTAGCCCCACAACCATCTCCTTGTTGTGCAGAGTAGTTAAGCCATTGTAGCTCAAGTGACCATATCGATGGTGCCATAGCTCTGTTTTGTCTGAGACATCAACCTGCAGACATTTTTCATCTTCTTCATTTCTGCAGGTTTCTGCAATTAGCACATACATCCTGTTTGCACTCATGATGGACTCAGCTATCTTTCCTCTTGTGGCAGACATAGAGATGAATACGGGATGGGGTCTCTCGTCATCTCATTGTGTGATAGATAATGTGTTCTACGTTTATAATAGCAAGACGATTGATTGGTATGACTCCAACAAACGATTTTGGACAAGTTTGAAGGCTTTGGAGGAGTTGAACACTGGGTTATGTAGAAGTGGTTGTGTTAAATTGACAGATTATGGTGGTAAAATGGTGGTTTTGTGGGAAGAGTATGATGCATCTCATAAGGAGAAAAAAATTTGGTGTGCAGAAATTGCGATTGAAAAATGCCGAAATGGGGATATTTGGGGGGAGATAGAGTGGGTTGACGTTGTCTCTAGAACCAATGGGGAATCTTGTTTAGCGCATGCTCTTAGTACTACCATTTGACATATACTAGTCATGATCATGTGACCTCAAGTTTAACATATTATTACTTTGTTTTTACTTTCATTTTTTGTAATCATTCTTTTTATTTATTTACATCAACAAATTTTGTTTAGTCGTGGACAATTTTTTTTTTTTTTTTTTCTTTTTTATCTATGTTTCATCTAGTGGTATAAATAAAGCTGTTCAATCATTTTCCGTTTCCATTTCTTTCCTTTCCTTTTTAATTTAATGGTGAATACCGACAAACCGCCCCACTATTAGATTATCTTCCCCACCAAGTAGTTGAAGAAATCCTATTACTCATCCTGAAACGGTATAAGCCAGTCCTCTCCTGCGTGTGCAAGAAATTACGTAAGTGCTTCCATGATAGCAATCGACAAATCCAACATAAAAGTGATAAAGACGTGGTTCAAGCTACGTGGCCGAAGGAGAATGAGTTGGTCTCCGTCGATCTTGGGAATCTTTTTGGGGACCGTCACAATGCTTCCACTGAGATCTTCTTTCTTTCAGGTAGCAAATTGTTAATCTTTGATACCCGAACTGGGATATATTGTGAAGGACCGCGTATAAAAGATCTGTAACTACCCATCACTGGGCTTTGTTGGTGATAAAATTTACGCCATTGGAGGCCATTTACGACTCAAACTTGGGATCAAGCACCAGTTCTTGAAGAAAAAAGTGTGCGCGTCTGCGACAGTAGATAAGATCCACCTGACAACATTCAAGTTTGGTACGATCCGAGAGATGATGGTTCATGTGAGTCTTTCGTGATGCCACCAAACCCGAGAGATGATGGTTCATGTGAGTCTTTCGTGATGCCTGGTGGCAATTGGTGGAGTTTGGGCGTCTGGGTGATCGAGAATGTGTTCTACGCTTATTTAAGAAGATATGGTCTCATGTGGTTCGATTCAGACTTTAAGCTGTGGAGAATTGTTGAAGGTCTTTGTGCAAAATGTCCGAGTTGCTGCCATGGCAGAATGTTATGGGTATATTATACTGTTTGCGAAAGATGATAGTAATTTACAGTTTTTAAGTGACCTGAAATGCTAATTAGTATAGAAACCCGTAGTATGTGGTGTCTAAGGAGTGTTCTAAAAAGGAGCGAAACAGGGATCTATGCAGTTGGAAAATCGCCTCAACTGCTTAAGAGTATCCCTCACAACTTTAAGTTGCAATACTGTTTCTCTCTCTCAGTTAAAAAAGCTATACTAATTTTGGTGTGTAACTTTTGTGCAGTGGTGAATCTAGAAATTATATTCAGCATGGACAAAAATAAACATATCAAAATATTTAAGAAAACTTGTATAAATATTTGAGAAAACTTGTATACAAAGGCTTTTAAAGTTTTTAATTAAATTATATCAAATTATGATTTACAATCATTAAACTTAAAAAAGCTTTCATTCAATAAACAGAGTCTTATAGAGATTGTATCCAATCTGGCTAAATACCATTGTTTTCTCTAAATCTAAACCAAGCTCGGGCCAAAAACCATTGGTTGACAAGTCGATCTCTAAAATAAACCAAGCTTAACCATTGGTCCAGACCGACCGCTGTCAGGACCGAATCGATTTAATCGACCGGTTAAATCCATTTGCTCTTCCAGCAGCCTCGATGATCTGAGCTCGATTCGTCCACGCTCAGCAGCTACGTTGACGATTTCAGACCAAAATTCTTCAAAAAAAAAGAAAAAAAAAATCGAACTGTGAAACGAGAAATTTCAGATTCCACAAAGAGAGAGAACAAAATTCGGAGCGAGGTTGAAGATGATCGGTACCTATTAGAATTCCAGTGACCGTGATTCAGAAACGGTGAAAAAACCACCATGGATAAGGAAACGGAGATTCTGTCTCGTCTCGCGGCGAACCACCTCCACCTAGCTCAATTCGAGCCGTTGAAAGCTACGCTGCTCGCTCTCAGAGTTCGTAACCCCGACCTCGCGCTCACGATTCTCCAGACAATCGTCTCCAACGCTGGAAGATTCGACAATGTCCTCTGGTCACGGTCTTGCTCTTCCCCGTCTCTTTTAGCATTCCTCTCGACGATTGAGCTTCTGAGATTCGAGAATCCTACTTCGCCTTGGGGATTTGATTCGGAGACTCTGAGTTTCCGAGCGGATTTCTTGTTGATGGTTCAGGTTTTGATCGACCGTGTGACGGAAAGGATTAGGGAAGAGCAGAGAGTCGAGTTGGAGAGTGAGAGTGAGAATGATGAATCGGAGAAGAGAGATGAAAATGGTGGGTTGAGAAATTGTGTACGGGTTTTGCAGGGGTTTTTGGAGTTGGGTGTTGAGAGGTTGAAGTTTGATGTTGATACAAGTAGTAGTGGAGGGAGTTATATGATCGAGGAAGAGGAATTTGTGTCTTTGAGGAGTATAGTATTGGATTACTCTGATGTTTTCGATGCTTTGTGCTGTAATATAAAGAGGCAACTTATAGGTTCAGAGGGGTATGTTACAAGTCTGGCGGATGAAGTTGAGAGAGAAGAAGAAGAGGAAGTAGAGAGGAAAGAGTCGATAGGCATTGGTTCTCGAGAGCAGGATAACAATAATGTGTTTGCTTTGATACAGAGGAATGTTCAGCTAGCACAGTTGGATGCTATGAGAAAATGTTTGGATGAGGAAGATGAGCACAAGGCAGCCGAACGAATACGTTATCTTCACCTTGATTATGGAGTAGAGAAAGAGAATTATCAGTATGTGCTTTGATTTATAAAACCCTTATGACGACATGCATCGCCTTGCATTTCAATTCCTTTTCTTGCTTCAGTTTTCGTCTTTCTGTACCTGAGCACTTATTTTCTCATAATTACGAAGAGAGAACTGACTTCAATTATTATTTTTCTCTTTTCTTTTGTGATAGTGCTGTTCTGAAAGCTCTCCTTTCAAGAGTTATGGAGAAAAAGGATGAGTATGGCGACTCCTGGCACATGGTTCGCCGGAAATTGCTATTTATTTATAAAGAAGCTCTTTCGTCGAATTGCGGAGATCTTGTTCAGATGATCCAGGTTGTTATAATTTTCATAAAAGCTGATATTAATAAGGAAGTTTCACATGTAAGAAACAACTATATTCTGGTACAGGTTACTGACCTGAAAATAATAGAAAAGTTGCTCACAGATTCTGCTAATGTGTACTACAACTAATTATTCGTCGTGATTAGGAACCTATAACCGTTTTTTCATATGATCATGCTGGAATCCGTTGTTTAATTTCTAGTTGGCATTGTTCTTTTATATATTTGTTGAATTTTACCCTGGATGTAGTTTAGTTTGGTGGTCGATTTGAGTTTAAGGGTATGCTTTTATGTGCATATTGAAATATGTATATGCGTGTCTTTGATTAAGTTATGCTTTACTATAAGCTCTTATGTAATTTACAATGTTTTCCTCTGCAGGGTATCCAAGATGATATGCTCCTCCCAGATAGTCCGCTACATTTATCTCTCGACAATGACCAAATTCCGTTCCCTCTTGAGTGTTTCAGGCGATATCTGTTAGACCTGAAAACTGAGAGAAATTTAGAGGACAAAACTTCTCCTATGAGCAAGGCTATTAATTCCTGCCTCAGAGACATGTATCATTATGCTCGTATCTCTGGATCACATGTGCTTGAGTGTGTTATGTGTGCTGCTTTGTCTTCTGTAAAGAAAGAGAAGCTTCAGGACGCTAGTGATGTAGGTGGAATAGAATAATTACATATTTTCGTAATCATTAATGTTACTGCAGTATCGTTGATTGCCTGCTGCCCCATTTAGATTCTGCTCATATGTTACAGGTTCTTGCTTTGTTTCCCCGACTTCGCCCATTAGTAGCTTCCATGGGTTGGGATCTGCTGCCTGGCAAAACTGCAACCCGTAGAAAGTTGATGCGGCTGCTTTGGACTAGTAACTCGCAAGCAACTCGATTAGAAGAATCTTCGCTTTATGGAAACCAGACAGATGAAGTAACTTTTTACTTTTCTTTTGCGTAAACTGTTATTTGGATCTATTATTTTTTTAGAAGATGACAGTGAAAGCCTAACAGGACACACTGATCTGGGCAGAAATCTTGTGTGGAACATCTCTGCGATACATTATGCTATCAGTTGGAGCTTGCCTCTTTCGCTGCATGTGTCAATTCTGGTAAATCATGGACTCCAAAAGCATCTTTCTTGATGCATGGAAATGCGACATCTGAGCATGATGATGCTGAGGTGGATCCCTTTGTTGAAAATCTTGTGTTGGAAAGGCTTTCAGCGCAGAGTCCACTTCGGGTACGACTTTCTTAAACCATCCTCTATACAGACACTATGTTTGGCAGTCCCCACAGGAAAAGTATTCTGAAAGAGTCTGTACAAATAACGTCTCTAAGCTATAATTATATTTAGTTGTTCAAAAAAAAAAAAAAAAAAAAGCTATAATTATATTTAGTATTGTCATTGGAAAAATTCAGTAGATATCTGGTTAGATTTATTTGCTTACAGTAAGAATGATGTCTGTTAGAAACCAAATGAAATAGGGAATGTATTGAGAAATTAAAGAATATACATCTAGGTTTCCTGAAGCATAGATTACTGCCCTACTGAATTTCAGTAATGTATTTTGAAATAATAAACGTCGTCCCTGGGAATGACACTGGCATTGCCATC